ACTACGAACACCTAACCAGCCTTCATATGGCACTGGCGTATACACATCCGTGTCCGGTTCGACGCCCAATTTAGCAGATAAGAATAAGAAGAAACATGGTTCATGGCTGATTGGTAAAGGCAAGAAGAATGGTTCAGAAACCGATTTACAAGGTTCCTACGTCGACCTGGAGAAGAAGAAAAAGGGCAGTATTCGAGATCTATTCCGAAGGAAAAAGAGTAAGTGTTTTTAGTCATATTTGTTGTTTTTCATAAAAAAATGAATGAAAATCATTAAGTGAAAGGTCTTTTAGCTTCTTGAAAGTTGGAAGCAAGCTCGTTTATTTCAGTCAAGACAACATACAAGTGTTCTTTAACTTTTTGTCACACTCCTAGATGGAAGACATCCCACACGTGGTCCAAACACGTATATAGCAAAACGGCTCAAAATGCATCATCATCGTAAATCTGATTGTGTTTCAGGCAATTTCCTTTTTATCCATTTATTCTGTACCACACGAGATTCACGGTCGGATCTCCGAACCACGGAGTAGCGTTTAATGTAATCCTTACTGCATTACGTGTCCATCAACCAAGAATGCGTACTTTCTTCACTAATTACATGACATTATTCCACAAATAATAGGTATCATAACACTCAACCATACCTAAAGAACGTGCGCCTAGATCAGAGGACTACTGGTATCCATCAGTACAGACTACTAATCATCACGTCCATAATAAACAAGCTAAATATCGATTTAACACCTATTTCTGCAATTGGATTTTTCATTAACCGTACTGAATATTCAACCCGTGTTTGTACATCAGCGATCCAGCTTATGATAAGGGCTTGTCACTGTCTCTGAGCTTCTTAATCACTGGTCATACTAAGTTACAAATCAACTCAATCGTACATTTAGTTCCCCGGTGCAAAGGAAACAGATCGGGAACCACCCCCTCCCCTCTCCGTTCTCAATCGATTTGACTTCAATATACGTTCAGAGCAGCATTCATTCCTCTATATCGANCTATATCGACATAGCGAAATATCCATCTAAGTCGTGCACGATCAGCTCACTTGTGCATGCGTGCGTTGTGTATGTGTACGAGTTCCAGAGAGTCCGGTAAAACAAGTTGATGTGTGAAACCTCCTTTTCCTTTTATCCTTTTCAGCCAAACAAGAAGATGTATGTGTACCCACATATGTCTCCTTGTGTTGGTGAAAGGTTGATGATAGCTGTGTTCTCAAAATAAATTATTTGTCCACTATATAGCTTGGTGTACGTTTCCGTCCCCGACCCCCGCTACACACAAACTGAGCTGAGTGGCTCACGAAATTTACCAAGCATGAAAGTTAATACGTGCGCGCTTTTTTCTGTGCTTTGATTATCAGAAGAGCTGCGTTTGTGCGTGGATTTCTTGATTGCACTTGAGTCTCTTTTTGCGATAGTGTGCTCGAACCGGTAGGATCGGCTGGGGAGTGTGGATACAAACATGTGCACTGTTATAGTGACGTTTTCGCTTGTGCCAAGCAAGCACATGGTATGCACGTCAACAAGTTCACTGTCATCTGTGTCATCTATCTGCAATGTTCGCAGTTGTGTGTGGTTGTGTAGGAGTGTACGTGTGTGTGTGTGTGTATTGTGCGTGTGTACTGTGCCTGTGTACGATCCAGGTTGTCCTCACTCGACTCAGCTCCGACTTTCACCCCTCCATCACGCACGCACCGTGCATATTCACAAACACACAAACACACATGTTCTCCAACTCTGGTTTCGAACCGCTCATGCTGCACAACGGTACCGTGGAAATCAACAGACAGGTAGACAGGAGTGCATCTGATCTATAGGTCTACAAGTGCCTCATTTTGCGTGAAATTTTTGACGGTTAACAAGCGGTGCCAGCCAGTTAGATTGAATTGTCCCGTTGTCGGAAAATATGCCTGCCATCAGAAAGAGCAAAAGTGGTAAGTTGTCCTCCGTTTACGGTTTTATCCTCAATCAATTCGACACAACCATGAGATAAATAGTGCTTTCCAAGCATGATTTCTGACGGAATGAGAAACACAAAGCTAATGTGATAAAGTCTCCATACTGCAAAGAAACTCCGATAGCATTCTGTGAAGGACCAAATGATGCAATTACCTGTTGGGGTAATAAGTGTATTTCAACTTGGTTCGTGCATTTATATCTTTTAGTATTATCTGAACGGGTGTATATCTGATATAATATTTCCTTAGAATGACAGTTTTGAATGTAATTCGCGAAACTTCCGTGTTTTATCAATCACCTTAGTGAAAATGACTTGATCAGATTGAGTACGCAAGCCGTATATCAGATGTTTAATACCCGCAAAACGAAGCACTCTAAAACTGTGGGCTGTTGTTGAGTTCTGCTCTCAGGGATAATATCATACACATGTAGTTCGTGAAAAGTGATTGAGTAATTTGGTACGGGTCAGTCGTGCACACCAAACCGTTCCAGTTTACCATTCTGTTGCTGTACTCCGCATATCTTTACACTTTGATTCGAAGTGAAGCAGGCAGAAATATATTGNCAGGCAGAAATATATTGTGGTTCAATTTGAATAGATTTTTTATGTTGATGTGTTTTGTGTAATGCTGACTGCGCTCGTGGTTGGACGGAATAGTGTCTTTTTTGTCTATTATATCTAATTATTATTAGCCTTGTTCATATGTGTACAGGCCTCTCCTTCGTTTCAACCGCTCCCGTTTTCCTATGTTAGTGAAGGAGAGCATCTTACCTGTGTATTCGTTCATGCATGTATATATATATATATATATATATATATATATTGTGTACTCCCTGTGCCGTTAGCACGTATACACACGTAGTCGAATGGGTATTCCAATTAGCTAAACGATCTGAAATGGTGTGAAACTAACCGCACAAGAGCCACAGTTCGTCGTTTCGAAAATATCCAATTTGGATTTGGATGTCTTAATCTTTGTGACTGGTACATATATCGCTGGTTGATATCTGAGGTTTAAACTAGAGGCTTTTACATATCGTAGTTGACCTTTACGCTCCCATTTGACGGTATGTGCCGGGCAATGGAGTGAGAAATAAATTATAAAACCTCGTGATTCAGTAAATTTAAAGTTAAGTATTGCCAAATGTGGTAGTATTCAAAACGAATTGATCAAAAGAGATGATGATTTCAAGTTTTGAAGCCAAAATATCTGTGTGTGCTTGTGTCTGTTTGTGCACGCTAGTCTATGTGGCTCCCAGTTGCATATTGATGTCTTTTTAATTTGGGATTTGCAAATCGAAAACTGAACTGAAGTCTATTATTGTAAGCTCAATTTTTATGTCCGTTTGCTTCTCTTTTTTACAGGCACACCAACCACTTCAAATGCGGACGTTCGTCAATCCAAATCAATGCCCAGTGTTGTACAGCCAATAGCAACTAACAGAATATCCACCGATCTAAATCAGCATTACAGCGAACTCGGAGGTGGTATAGACAGAAATTTCGTCCGAGGTCCAGTTCCGAGCACTTTATTGAAACAACCAGCTGCGAATATTGCCGCTTACGTGGCAGCACAAAAAGCTGTGCCGGAGTTTGAAGACTTTAGTCTCACAACGCAGAAAGGTATAATCACTGATCCGGGATACTCAAATTCACGATCGGCCCCATCCGTCTCGGCGGCACCGCGAGAATCAACCTATGCAAATTTGGATACAGATAAAGATAGAAAACTCAAGGGCACTGCACCCGAACTAGCAGATGTTTTGTTGGACCAAGGCCGAGCCCAGTTTGACCATGAGACCACATTGACGGGACAAATTGGCGAACCAGTTGGAACAGTTACTTCAAGTCGCATCTCCGCTGTACCAGGGACCGTCTATGCTGAGAAACCAGTTGGTTCTTCAGCCGGACAATTAAAACTGAAGGGTCCCGCTCCAGAAATGGCAGCGGTAATTGAGGATCGACACGGCCCTGTAATAGGTCATGATACTCAGTTGACGTCGAACGTCACAATGGCACCGGTTGCAACCGCGCCCGTGGTTTCTGGAGAATATGTGAATGCAAATCAAAACTTTAAAGGCACCGCGCCGGTAGTTTCAGGAGAATACGTGAATACAACCCAGAAAATTAAAGGGACCGCACCGGAAATGGCTTCACAGCTTCATGATATTTATGGATCCCGTGGTGTGGTGGACGATAACTACACTCTGTCCGGTATGTCACAAGCACCTAAACCAAGAGATACAGTTTATACAAAGCCAACTACCGATCTAGTCAACCAAAAACCAGTGGGTGAAGTGATCTATCAAAAACCGCCCATCGATGTGGATTACGAAAAATCTCGAAATGTACAAACTCATCCAACTTACGAATCACCGGTTCAACCCAGACCAGTGCTTGTCACTGAGAAATCTCAGCCCCAGCGACCCATGTCTGCTGGACGACCGCATCTAGACGATGATCTCAGCGATGTGAGTACTGTGCATTCCGATCAGGAGTTCTATCTTGAAGTGGGACGAAGTGCATACTATTTGGAGCGTAAAAAGTCACTCAAACGTCATCGTTCACGAAGAACTGCACAAAAAGAAAGAGATGCACGACGTTCGATGGGTCTGGAAGATCGTGACTCGCAACGCAGTAGTATTTCGTCCCTGAAACCCGGAGATCCCGTACTGATTGCGCGTAAACGCATGGGTACCGATAGAGCCGGCGTAAATTCGTGGCTAAATGGACACGCGAGCAGTAAGTTCGTTGCCAGTGCTTCCCTGATTGCGCATAAGATTTCAATGAATCGTAGTGGATGAATATTTATTTCATCAGTATCTCTTGCTTGTC